TTGACACGTGGACACACAAGGTTAAATTGAAGCCAAGTGTTGGATCTCGGGTCTGATGAAAATAAAAGGAAGCATTTCAGAAATGTAACATGAGAACTTCTCTCTTACTTCCTGGAGCACTGGAGATCAGTGCAGTTCTGATTATAGCTGGTTAAAGTCTTGTTTGTGTTGTCATATAACTTTATTAGCTTCAATTCAATGCAGACAGTCGCCTCAAGGAGCTTTATATTGTAAGGTAGACCCTACAATAATACATACAGAGAGAAACCCAACAATCATATGACCCCACTTGCACATTGGCGACAGTGGGAAGGAAAAACTCCCTTTTAACAGGAAGAAACTGCCAACAGAACAAGATTCAGGGAGGGGCGGCCATCTGCCGCGACCAGTTTGGGTAAGGGGAGGAAGACGGAATAAAAGACATGCTGTGGAAGTGTGTGAACAGTCAGTGTGATTTAAGAGAAGTAGAGAAATGGTCATCATCAACTCAGCAAAGTTCAGCCCTTTTTTTTTTAATTTATTGAAGGCTGATAAAAATTGTTCAGTAGTGATCACATGTTTCTCTTCTCAGGTGTGGGGGCCATGACGTGGTCTCCGCTGGCCTGTGGGATCATCTCAGGGAAATACGATGGCAGGGTCCCTCCCTACTCGCGGGCCTCCCTTAAGGTAGACAAGCCTCGCTCGCTGTGCTCCTTCTTTATCCCACTCTGATCATCTGTGCCGCTGTCACTGTGCTGCGTTTCACTGCTGGTTGCTTATTGTGTGTGTTTGTGTCTTTCAGGTTCTGTTACTCACCACATACTGTAACCTTGTGTGTTTTCAGTGCCATGCCGACGCCATGCACTGCGTACCGCTTCACAAGCAGCGCTGTTACACACTGTTTGTCAGTTGGTGTCAGCTTAATATATTTTAGTCCACGCAAATGACCACAAAACACCTACGCTCACAACAATAATAGTGCGGCACGTGTGCGTGCTGACTTGTGAATTTTTATTTGACACTACAGATACCAACACTTTAAAAATAAAAATGTTTCACTTTATAAATTGGCAGATGAATCGGGAATCAATTCAGTGTGTTGTGTCAGGAGAAGAAGAAAACAAAACGTCCATTTTTACTAAAAATGATTAAAGAGGAGACGCGGCTTCAGGGATTCAATCCTGTATTTGTGACAGATGAACTCAGCAGCCCTCACTTTCCATCATGTCATGTTGTGATGCTGAAATATATTTTAGCATTCAGCATGCAGACTTTTAAAAATAAGAGATCCAAGACAGCTCAACACATAAGCTTACACCTGATTGGTGTTCTGTCCCTCTGTGCTGGAGTGGCATGTTGTGTTTCTGTGGATCGTGTGTCACTGATTGTTGGTTTGAGCTCTGCCGGTTCATGAAGCAAGCTCTCCATCTTGGTGTTGTGCAGTACTTTTGGTGACTTATGTTGAATGTGCTTCTTCCCGTTCGGCTCAGTGTTGTCTGTGGATGTTTGTGGTGTTTTGGATCGTTGAGTCAGTGAATCCTTGTGATACTAATCACATCCTCTGTATTGTTAGATCTACCAGCTAGATATCAAAGCTACTGTATAACTCAGCTGGGACAAAACTAACACTTTTTTAACATATTTAATTTTTGTAATGTTTGTAAATCTGCTATAAATGAACTGACTATTATTATTTTTTACAAAAGCATAGAGTGAGCTGTGTTTCCCTGGCTGAGGTGTAGACAGCAGGAGACAGAGTCACGTGTTTAAAAACAGGCCCTGGTGACACAGGAGCTGCAGCGCAGCGGTGTGAGCAGGGCTGTGTTTTTGAGCAGGTGTGCTGTGTTTTCGACAGGGCTACCAGTGGTTGAAGGACAAGATCTTGAGCGAGGAGGGCCGGCGTCAGCAGGCGAAGTTGAAAGAGCTGCAGGCAATCGCGGAGCGGCTGGGCTGCACTCTGCCCCAACTCGCCATCGGTACGCAGATACACTCTGCCGCTCTCTCTCTTTCTGTCTGTCTGTCCGTCCCTCTGCCTCGGACAGGCCGAGGTCAGCACCGCTCTCGCAGCTGTCTGGTTTGACACTCGGTGTGTTGTGTTGTCACATGTGTGTGTTGTAAGTGTGCAGTTAAAAAAAAAAAAAAATATATTTATGAGGAAAAACAAGAAAACAGGGACTATTTAAGAAATAAAGCAATAAGAAAGGTAAATAGTGGGTCTTAAAGGGACAGGAACACACAGTATCAGATATAAATCCAGAGGATGACTCGTATCGATTCACTTGCCGGGCAGTAAATGTGCAAACCCCAAAGACGCAGAGTCCTGCAAGCGTCGTTAAAGTGGCAGTCGAGAGGGACGCGACGAATAAATCTCGCAGTCGGTCTCCTATCTCAGCACAGATCACAGCAGATTTTTCACCCACACAGTAATACACTGTCATAGATTTGGTTTCACGGGCCATTAGTGGACACCCTCGGTTCTCCCTCAATTACCATAAATCCTTCCAGCACTCCTGTAGGCAGCACGGGACATTTATATGCAGTCTTCTAGATTGCTGTGTCACTCCAGCATTAAATAAAAACTATAAAACAATAACAGACTGCTTCTCGCCTTGGGCTTTATCCCGAGACTCCTTGAGCAGGTGGTAAATTCAGGAATCAGGCTGCAAGTGTGAGAACAGAGTAAACAAATGTAGTCGGTATCTCAGCAGCCTAAGGGAAGGTCTGCACCTGCATCACTCCCGATGAAGATCTTCTTTTTTTGGCCGTATTCTTATGTTTATTGAAGATTTGTGTAGAATCATAATCCCACTATTTTTACAGCAGCATTCCTCATTCCATTATACTATAATCTGCTTACCAGTGTATTTTCCTGAATTTCAAGAGCATGCAGTTGTATTGCATAATACAGTTCCCAATTACAATGGCAGACCAAGCAAGGATGGGGTGTGTGTGTGTTTGTATTTGTATGCAGTGATCACAAAAAGGCAGGTTTTCTGAACATTATTAGCAGAGAGCTGCTCTGAGATGTAGTTCTTTTATTCAGGCTTTGCACCTGAAAATGGTTCTGAAGTATTTGTACATGAGTTTTTTGCAAGTTCCTGCTTCACTAACTGTGCTTTACAAAGGGATGGGAACTTAGTCTTATGAAAAAAAAAATATATATATATACCAGGAAAAACAGATGAACATCACACAATAAATTACACAGTTAATATTTAACAAACCTAAATCCAGAAGCAGTGTTTGAAAAATTAAGTACACCCTTACTGGTTCTATAGAATTAAGATGGTAAGTCACCAACAGAGGTAGCTTATCAAAGGCACTTGATTAATTGGTCATTAGCAAACGTGATCACCTCTGTTTCATAACAGTTTGTAATCATCACACACGCACACAAGTGAATGTCCCAACACGTTTACCCCATAACAGACCATGCAATGCTCAGCAACACTGCAAAAAAACCCCAAGAGCTACATCTTAGACTCCATGGGCCTCAGTTAGCATTTTAGATGTTAAAGTTCACGACAGTAGAATCAGAAAAAGACTGAAGAAGTATGTCTCGTTTGGAAGTGGTGACAGGAAAAAGACTCTTCTTGCTAAAAAGAAAATGACTGCACGGTGTAGGGCTCCAAAGCCACATCTGAGCAAAGACTTTTGGAACAATGTTCTTTGGACAGATGAGACCAGAAATGGAGATGTCTGTTCATAATACAAAGCGCTACCTTTAGAAAAAAAACAAAACAGCACAAACATTTCATACCAGATGTCAGGACTGATGTGGAGGGATGATGATTTGAGCTTGTTTTACAGCCACAGGACCACAGCAAGTTGCAGCCGCTGAGTTAGCTATGAGCTCCACTGTATACTAAAGCATTATGGTGTTAAAGTTGGGGACGTCTTTCTAACGGGTAATGGTTTTGCTGAAATTGGGTCATGCAACAGGAGAATAAATCCAAGCACAGCAGTAAATCTACAACAGAATGGCTGAAAAAAGAGTCGGCATGTTGCAATCCATCAGTGTCCAGACCTGAACATGATTGAAATGCTGTGGGACAACCTTAAGAGAGCTGTGGATAAACAAATGCCTGCAAATCTCAGTGAACTGAAGCAACAATTCAATTCAATTCAGTTTTATTTCTACAGCGCCAAATCACAACAACAGTCGCCCCGAGGCGCTTCATATTGGAAGGCAGACCCTACAATAATGCATACAAAGAAAAGCCCAACAATCATATGACCCTCTATGAGCAGCACTTTGGCGACAGTGGGAAGGAAAAACTCCCTTTTAACAGGAAGAAACCTCCAGCAGAACCAGGCTCAGGGAGGGGCGGGGCCAAAGAAGAGTTGGTCAAAATTCCTCCACACTGATGTGAGAGACTAATGCTCATACAGGTGTTTCTACAATCTGCTGAATCATGATGTGTACTCAGTTTTTTCACACGCTGCTTCTGCATTTGGTTTATTTCATTTCAGCTAAATAATGACACAGTTCTGATCTGAGATTGCATTTAAACAACTTTAGAACCAAGTAAGCACCAGATGGTTTTTCTATTCAAATAATTTAATCATGGTGCAACAACGAGACTCAGTTTACCTGCAGTGAGCTATGCCAAGTTACATTTTCAACACGGCATGAGCTGAGGTATAGTACTGAAATTTGATATAATGTAGGCGGGCATTGAGCAGCATCTGATCAGGAGTCATTTTTATATTGTGGTGTGTGCATGAGTGGGTTGGTTCTTCCATCGCTGATCCAGTGTTAGTGTAACGAGTGTCGAGGTCCTGATGAGTAATGTTGCCATAGTATAGCAGTTGGTTTATTTTATCAGGGAGCGGCTGTCATTTCATGTGCAAATAGTAATCAGCGTGTGTTTGCGTCTCGGGTATTGTGTGTGTGTATGTGCGTGTGTTTAATCACGGTAGGGGTGTCATCCTTATTTACTGGTCTCCTGCAGCGTGGTGCCTACGGAACGAGGGGGTGAGCTCTGTCCTTTTAGGGGCGTCCAACACCGACCAGCTGATGGAGAACATAGGAGCGATCCAGGTGAGTGTGTTTGTGTGTGTACGCTTTGCTTGTGTTACCGCGAAGTAAATCAGAAGCTTAATTTGTGAAAATGCAACCTGACCCGCTTTGTTGGGCTCGTATTTGTGCCTTACAGTCCATAGCGGCAGCCTCCTCTCCTGGGCACGGCTTGGCCTCCTGGGCAGTTTGCTGCTGCACGCCTGGGTGCTTTACTGTACTGAGTTAATAAGGTCAGAGGAGTATCAGTTGCCAGTGGGATTGGAGATGAGCTCACAGCCGCTTCCTCCTCTCCTGATAAGATGCACTCTTTAATGGGGTTTTCAGAGCGGTGAGGGTTTACGTCCCCTCCTCACATTATGTCTGGCCCGAAGTAAAAAGCATTCTGACTCTCATCTACTCCGATGCTTTGTGTCTGCTCCCGTGTGTGTGTGTGTGTGAGTGTGTGTGTGTGCACTAAACGTCTCCTCTCCAGAATGCGTTTGATATTTCGGGTTTGAAATGCTATGCTCACATTTCCCAAGGGCTCTGCAGTTTCCCTTTTGCCAGAATTTTATATCAGAGACGCTGAAATAGAAACGGCCCCTGGTGTGAAAGACTTTCTCAGGAAGTTTCAATAAAAATATTATTTCTTTCTTTTTATTTAATGTCTGCATTGTCGGAAGAGCAAATACTTTATTATTCTCTACACGCGAAAAGTTCCTGTTTAATTTGTACTACCATCTAATCTCTTTTTTATTTTCCTTCTTTTCCGGTTAAATAGAAGATTTTACTCCTCACTTTGAAATTCAGAGTAAAACGATCTGTATTTTTATCAAAAAGGGCAAAATATCTTAATAAATTTTTCTTTTTAGTGATGTATTTTCATAAATCTTTATTTATACAGCCTTTTTGTTGAAAATAATTATTCTTTGAGTCAAGCTCCCTCAGTTATCAAGTTTAAAAGGAACAATATATTCCTCCTGTTTTCATATTTCTGCTCTGCTCAGTGATGCACTACTTTACTATAAATACTTTATGTAGTGTCTGTTTACAAAGTTCTACCCCAGTTCCAAAAATAGTTGAGATGCTGTGTAAAATATAAATAAAAATACAATGCAATGGTTTGCAAATCTCAAATATAAAACATTTTATTCACAAGAGAACGTAAAGAACATATTTATGTGTCAAATGTTTTCAGTTGGTGGAAAGTTGGGCCTGTCTGCAGACAGGTCGAGCTTTGCACCAGAAAAGACGCCAGTATTCCTGTTTCATGTTCACATATGGCTTCTTCTTTGCATGATGGAGCTTTAAGCTGCATTTGTGGATGGCATGATGAACTCTGTTCACAGACGGGGATTTCTGGAAGTCCATCCAGTGATTTCCATGACAGAATGCCTGATTTTAGTGCAGTGCTGCCCGAGGACGTGAAGATCATGGGCAGTCAGTACTGATTTTTAGCCTTGTCCTCTGCGCACAGAGATTTCTCCATATTCTTATTCAAAGGTTTAACAATTTTACATTAAAGAGCTTTATTTTGAACTTGTTCCACAGTTTTGTTCAGACTGCTGAAACTCTGCCTCTCTAAGAGGCTGCTCTGTTTATACAGGGTCACGTTAGACCTGACCTGTTACCAATAAAACTACCTGCTGTTTCTTCAAAGTCTTCTTCAAAATGAGTTAATATTTTTCATGAAATACTAAAATGTCTGTTTTACCAGCATCCCAACGTTTCTGGAATTTATTAGAACTGAAGCCTTTTTACATATCGCTGTTTCTATAAAGATAAAAACTTGTGCATAAAGCTAATATATAAAACAACAAAGAAATAAAGTAAAAAATAAACACATGCCACTTCTGTTTTTGGATTTTGAGCTGGACTGGAGATTGCAACGTTGAGATTGTTTGTAAAAATCCTTTCAACACTCTCTATAGGTAGCGATGTGAAACTGCAACACACCATGGCGACTGCAGTGCGTTCACCTCTTGTCTTTCTGTCGTGTCGTAGGTTCTTCCAAAGTTGTCGTCATCCATCACACACGAGGTGGACAGCATCCTGGGGAACAAGCCGTACAGTAAAAAGGACTACCGCTCCTAACGCGTGGCACGGCCCCGCCCGGCAGGGCTGCACCCGGCCTGCAGCCGCAGTGCCCCACCTTTGCCTGATCCTCTGTTTGCTTGAGCTTTTACTGAGTGAGACCCTGGCGCATGAGTCTGGCCACACCAAGGCCACGCAGGGCACCTCATTTAGAGTTACAGGGATAAGATAAGAAAAGGGGGAAAAAATACAGTCACCTCCACTGGAAATGACAGGATTGACAAAGAAAGACACAAACATGGAAAAAGAGAGGTTAGAGATATGCGCTCATATTTAAATTAGTTATACATTCAATTCAGCTGAACGTATTTTAAAACTATAGAGAAAAATACATTTATTAAAAAAATTAAATAAGCACACGCTTGCTTGGCAGCCAGATTTTTTTTTTTCCTTTCTATTTTTTTTTTCTCTTTTTAAAACCGAATACAACTAAAAGGAAGATGAAATTCATGCTGTATGAATACACGAGAACTATTGTTGCACATGTACCATAGCCATGCATTCGTTGTTTGGACGTTCTGTTTACAAACACCTGTGTACTGTCCAAATCCGTCAAGATTTCTCTGAAAGTGTTGTCGACATTACCAGAGCCTCCTCACGGGCTTCAATCAGCACTTTAGTACAGTCAGTAAAGGTGTTGGAAGGCAGTTTCAAAGAGGAGAGAGGATGGGTATTACAACAGTCTTATCTCACAGCCATTGCACTATAGAATCACATCGCCTCTTCATAATTCCCTCTCTTCATCCTCTGTTTCTTCACTGGCAGTGCGTTTGTCCAGCCTAATGCTCCGATGCTCCTCCTGTGTAAGCGTGGCTCTGACGTTCTGAAGTCATCAGGGCTTCCGTCCTTACAGTGAACCACCCGCCATGATGGAGCTTAGGAGCCAGGCTGATGTGTCTGGGCAACTTGCATGCCACTGAAGAGATGAGCAGTTTATTCCTCCCTAACAGCAGGAACTGCAGTCGTGTTATATCAAACGCAGCGGCCTGCTTCACTGTGCTTCCCGGCCGCTTTTCTCGCTTTTTTCAGGCTGAGGATTTTGGTGTACAGGGAACGTTCATATCAGCGTTGGCTCAACATCTCATGGAAACTTCTCCTCAATCAAATTCAGTTCAAGTATTTTGCCTTATTTAGAGTTGCATCAAACTGTGCTTTGGGCTTGTAGACGAGCAGCTCGACAGCTGCCTCTCTGCGCTGGTCATGTGTCCCCGGTATAAACTGGACCACTGAGTGGTGGAAGTGGTGTTTGTTGCTCCCTGACTGGGGGGGAAGGAGTCGTGTGTCTGGTTAATCGGTGAGTGGCAGCAGCTCAGGGAACGGAGCAGGCAGCTTCAGTCGTGTGTTGGCGTGCACAAAGTCAGGAGGTTGTATTTAGTTATCTGTTTTCGTCTCATGTGTGGACACTTTAGTGTGGCTTGAGCCAAAGATCTTCTTCTTCTTTTCTTTCTTTCTTTGAGAAAACAACCCAACGTTTCACTATTACAACATTATAGAAATCATCTTGACGCATGTGCTGTCCAGCTTGTAATCTATCTATGGTATGGACTTTACTCCATAATATATCTTTACTTGACCGAGCTGTTACACTAGTTAACAAGTATGTCCTTCATATACAGAATGCGTAGTACAACTAAGTGCTTTAGGATCAGTAAGGTTTGTTTCAGGCGGCAGACGCCCCGAGACGCGTCAGAAGTATTATTGCAAACATTTTGACAACGCCCTGTATCATTTGTTGTCCTTTGGGTGCTCTCTTACTGTGATTAAAGCACAAGTGGAAAGCATGTTACATCTTCTAAGCATGGACCCTCTTCACCCAGCCTACAGTACCTATGGGACAAACAAGGTGATGCTTTTCAAGCTTACCAACACGTGTAGATAACAAGTCTTTACTAACAGTTGATAAACTGTTGATTCTTAGAAGGAAAAAACAAGTGCAAATTAACATAACTTATATAAGTGTGAATGATATGAATGAGGTGAAGCTGCTCAGCTAGAGTGGAGGGGATAAACATCACTGTGTGGGGTTTGTGTGGATGAGGTTTTGCTTGAGTATTACTCCTAAATCACAGCAAAGTGATTCAAGATCTGCTGTTGGGGTGTGTGTGTGTGCGCGCGCGAGAGAGAGAGTGTGAGAGTGTGTGAGTGAGTTCAGGTGTGAGGGATTGGGGGACAACTGAACTAATCCCGTGCTGTTGTATTAGTTGATCCCTGAATACGGCTGATTTGCCGTGTCTCTTGTAAGTCTGAGTAAATAATAACAGGCACAAGCTGATGCTGTTTTCTCAGAATTTAAAAAAAAAAAAAAAAAGAAGATAAGAACATTTTGTTCATTAGTCTGTGGAGTTTCTGTGTCTTAATATTTCCATCTGCAGGGAGCGGAGAAGAAGTCTGAGATTTAAAAGGTTGAGTCTGACATTTTGGGAAATGTGCTTTTTCTCACCCAAAATTACAAAAGGTCTGATACTGAACTGATATTAGCTCAACACACAGACTGGAAACCAGAAGACACTCATTTTCTCTTCTGTACAGAACATATTAGCCATTCATTATTAAGCTTTACAGATAAGGGTAGTCAGAGGGTTTTAGCCTCGTTCATATGTTCGTACTGTGTTCACCAAGGACTGTCTGATTGAGATATTGTAAGGATAACTTTTCAGACTCTCAGTTGGGAACCTGGTTTATTTAACACATAATCGGGTGTTTGAGTGTGCAGTCAAGTCCGTGCTGTGTGTGCACTTTCATCCTGTGCTCTCCCTTTCACCATCTGTTTGGGTGCATCTCTGATCTGCTGGATAAACGGACACATGGAGGGGAGCAGAGGAAAGGGGAGACAGGTGAAGTGACGGTATCGTTACCTGAGTCGAGGACGGCTCGGCGCTCCCGTGGCAGCGAGGACCGTGCCGTTTCTCCATCCACGTAACAAATAATTTAAGGCTGCAGTGGCAAGGCGTGACACGCTTATTTTCAGGAATCATTTCTTTTCTAAATGTATTATTGATGATGAGAAAAGCAGTTTGGCTGTTTCCAGTCTCTGTGCAGCAAATATGCCGACGTGGCATATTTGCCCCCCTAAAGATGTCAGACTTTCCCTTTGAACGTTATCGCTGTGCATTTAGTTTGACCATCAGTTGTGTCCCAGCGTGCCGACCCGCTCGACACAGATGCTGTGTCGTAACGAGCTTCACGTGCACAACGTAGAAATAACTGAAACTTTTGAAGCTTGTGTGTATTTGTCTGGTGCCCTCACCCATGTAGGAGAAAATAATGCTTTAAGAGGTCCTAGTTTCATCATATTTGCTGTTCTAACATGTTAACGACTAGTTCACAAATGAAACAGACCCACAGATGAATAGAGCTTATTTTACAGAAGGTTCTAGGTTATACAGAGAATATATTTTTATGTTCTAGCCTTTAATGCAGTAGAGAGAATTAAGAGAACTGTTTTTATTTTTGTCATCATGCTGCATTTTTCCTATCGGTATTGTATTGATTTGAAGACTGACAAAAAGAAGCAATCTTTGTGTTGTGTGTGCATTATGATGCTCAAATGCAACGGTGTGTGGAATTCACCCTGAAGACGACGTATTGAGAGCCTGGTATCTCCTGTACATACTCTGACCTTTGTATATATTTCTGGTTGTGATCACCTTTGCCTTTTTTCATTTTGATTTCATTTTGCAGGCGTTGCTATCTGCACTGTGCTTGAATCTGAGATTTAGACAGGATGTACAGCTTATGATCTTCAATGAAAATGAATTAATGATAAAAATAAGAATGGTTAAAAACCACCAACTTGTGTCTGTTTTTATTTTGGCATCTTTATTCATAATGTTTGGATTTGTTAGAGCGTCCAAGCCTCTTCTATCCAGTAGAAAACAAAAGATGCATTTATGACTTATTTATGAAATATAAATATGAGGCAATTTATACAAAAAATAAAAATCCTGAAGGAGGTGCAAATGATCTGAAGTGGTTTACATTGAACTTTAAAAACTGTCATTACAGCATGTGTAGTCATCAGGAGTGTGCTTTACTGTCATATAGCATAAAGCTTGTGAGGATCAATAGAATCTGTTGTACAGTAAAGCATCATAGCACCATTTACCCAAGGGTCATACTTCATGTTGTATAGACTGAAAAAAACTTCATAGAAATGACAGAACTGCATCATATTCAGTAATATCGCCAACATCTTTACAAAAGTAGAGTATTTTTCTTATACAGTACCTTCCGCTGTATTTTGAGGGCAAACATATAAAACACAATGGGCTGAAAGTGCAGCAAACCTGACTGCGACTTCCTCGCACTGCACTCTGGAAGAAGAAATGCTTATCCTGAAGGTGAGACGGGTTATGTTTGGAAATCACAACCTGCAAGTGACAGTTTAACCCCAACAGTTCAAAGGACACTTTGGCACAAAAAAAAAATCATCCAGACGGGTGCAAACATGGAACTGCAGTTCTCATCAGAGCGTCCGTTTCCATGAATCTCCCAGCTGCTACAGTTCCCTGTCATGAGCTTTCACTCACTGGAGTCACTTCAGTTTAAAACTCCTGTCCCAGTTGAGATTTCATGCTGGTTGGAGCTGCTATAATGAGTTGTCGTGCCGTGATTGTCTTGAGCTGCTCCCATAGGTGAGGCGCGGAGGTCCACCTGAGGCGACGGACACAACGAGCTGAGAAATCCAGCTCAGCAAACGCACAGCATTCACATTTGATCAGAATAACAACCCCCCAAAAAGTGGAAAGTGCAGCCTCTGCAGCTCTGCCCCTCACAGACAATAACTAAACACTGTCAGCACTTACACTTGGTTACTTACTCCCATTTCACCAGGTCAGCAGATCTGTCACTTCTGTTCTCACTCGAGGGCGAGCGGAGGCCTTCACCTGCCCTCCTTGTGGATATTTTCATGACGTAAGTGTTAAAACGGCAGGGTGTGTGTGAGTGTGTGTTAGTCACTGCTGTACCTTCCTGACAGGACGGTCCAATCCAGCTGTGCAGGCAGTCGCAGCGGCCGTTGCGACGGTCGCACTGCGCCCTGTTCTCGCACTCGCAGGTCTCTGAGCAGTCAGGCCCGTAACGATTCTCTCTGCAGTCTGACAGCCAACGGTGAAAAGCAAAATCCAAGCAGTTTAATAAAGCTACAAAATGGCGAGGGCGCAGTACATTTACTCAAATATCGAGCGCAAGTATTGTTTACGCGGCAGCTGCGGCTCAGGAGGTAAAGTGGGATGCCTACTGGTTGAAGGGTCAGTGGTTTGATCCCCAGTTTCCCTGGTTTGCATGTAGACATATCCTTGGGCTAGTTTTCCCAGATGCATCCAGGAAGCAAGAGTGTGTGAATGTTAGCCAAAGCTCTTAAACATAGAAAA